CGCGCAGCCGAGCCGCACCCGGACCCGCCCGCGCTGAGTTTGCCAAGAGTCGGAACTGCGGGAGGTGGGCGCGGGCGGGTCACCGCACCCTGCTGGCCTCGGGGGTCATTGTCTTCCCAGCAGCCGGACGCCGGGCCCATCTCCATTTTAATTACCGGCGGAACCGGGCGCAGGGCCCTCGGGGCCGGGTGGCAAGGGGCGCGCGGAGAGGATGCGGCGCGCGGAGCGCACGGGGCGCGCGGAGGGAGCAGGGTCGGCTTGGAGCCGCGTCTTTGTTTCGCTGTAAATAGACATGTCAGTTTCACAGGGTACCGCAAGTCAGTGTCTGACAACTCAATCCCGAGGGCAAATGGGGAATTTTTTGCTCCAGCGGCAGGGTCCTACCTAGTTGGGGTTTCCCGGTCCCGCCAACAATTTCCTATTTGTAAGATTAAAGAACCGCACACAATAGGGATGGACTGAGGAGCCTGGGTGGAAGTAAATGGGGCGAAGAACAGCTAATTTGTTACACTGAAGAAATATAAACAAAAGTTTGACTGAGATTCTTAGCGATTTTCCTTCCGCTTTCAGCGCTAGTCTCAGCGGTGCGTTTGGCTAGGGTTGCTGTCAAGATTGTTATCAGCATTGTTTAAAGAAATGCTAATTAGGAAACGTGTGCTGCGAACGGCCCGCAGACACCTGTGCGCTGTGCGCGGAGTACTTCTGTGTGTCTGCATTGTGTCAGTTCTGGAATCTCTCGTGCTGGGTTTATCACAGACGCTAACTTCCCGTTTGGTAACAGACTGTGGATTCGGCTCTAATGCTAACCCTCACGTTGCCTGTGCAAGGCAGTATTTCCACTCAGCAAGAGTGGAAAGTAAGTTCTTCAAAAGGGAAATTGTGGAAGGGTTTGTAGAAGAGTTTGCTGGAAAATGAAGGAAACAATAGTATTTTATCATAGTAGCGTTCTTCCATAGGTCTGCTTTGCGATAATACTGGATGTTTTGAACTGAAGACTTTAGGGGCACATCAGTTTTACTGCCAGAAAGAGTAAGTGGATGATGGGAGTGTTTAGGTAGGCGTTATTGCAGGTGTCAGTAAGAATTTAGCGCTATTTCCCCTGAAAGGCTTGCAATTATTCGCATATACTTTACTGAAGGAGAGGGATCGAGTGCTGCTGTGAGACTTTCCTGTAGAGTGGTGGAAAGCGCTCACTTTGCTGTGCCGAGAAATCCAAAATTCAGTTTCCCCCAGGCCCCGCTCTCATTGACATCATTGTGGATCTAAGAATTTTGTTTGCTTAATCTCTGTTCTGGTTTAGCTGTTTTTGTGTGAACGTAGGTTACCCTTGTGCTCAGAACTGGGTCCCAGCCCTCCGTGTGACGTCTAGGGCTGTGGCACTCACCCCCTTGATGCTCAGTGTCCCACTTCAGTTACACCAGGGTCAGACTGACCCACTGCCACTGTGACTTCCGGTGCCCGAGGCCACACCACAGTAGCACAGAAATCCAGAGGTAGCTCCAGAGGGGGAGAGAAAATGCCCTTGAAGTGTGGACACTCCGTTATTGTCAGATGTGTTATTTACAAACACTGTAAGCTGAGTAAAGTTTTAACAGTGAACTTTCTAACATTGTCCTTATGTGGGACTTTTCAAATTAAGGGAAATTGGGCCGCTCTGTCCCTGTGGTCTGTGTTTCTGGGGCGCTGCTCAGCTGCGTGCTCTGTTCTCCATCAGAGGTCCTCGGCCAGCCTCCAGGAGCTGAGGAGACCCATTTAGTGCACGGGCTTAGAAGGTGCCACAGCCTGTGAACTTGAGCTCATTCCCCACATTGCTGTCACTTTCTGTGCTCAGGTGCCCTAGAGGTTGCTCTAAGAAAGTTCTGGAAACCATTGCTCCCTCTCATGCCTGTATCAGGGTTCTGGAACCTGTGGAAGGGCAGTTTCATTTTGGGGGCCTGCGTGTTCTTGCCGAACTCTTGTTTTTATAAAAATATAGGGTTTTTTTTGTTTGTTTGTGTTTTAAGACAAGGTCTTGCTATGCAGTTCAGGCTGGGCTTGAATTCACTATGTAGACCAGGCTGGCCTCCAACTTGTGATCCTCCTGCCTCAGCCTTCCAAGTGCTGAGGTTATAGACCTGAACCACCACACCTGGCTCTTCAATTTTCACTTAATATATTTCCCTTACATGGAATGAGAGTAGATTGTTAAGAATTTCTTTGTGAATCTGTCCCCTCGTCTGGGAGAAAAAAAAAAAAAAGATTTAGGTTGCTGGAGTTTGCTGAATGGCCTGACCTCTAAGTAGATGGATAATTTCTGCTGAAGCGCAAGACTAGAGTGTGGGAACACACTGCATGCTCTCTTGGCCTCTGGTTGTCTGTCTGGCTGTGGAATGGCCAGTTCTGGCTGTGAACTTGTGCAGAGCGCTGTGCCCTAAGTCATGAAATCAGTGAGGTTTTTCCTTCCTTTCTGCTTGGACGCTGTGTGTGCCTCATCTCTGCATACTCGAGCATGCTGTTTTAGTTTGTGAGTGATGACAGAATGTGCCTAACTGTACTGTTCATACAGTAGGTGAAAAGAGAAAGAACCTTTTCTAACAAACTCACTGATTGTTCTACTAAAGGCTAATGACAAGCAAGATTAGTCAGATCTGATCAAAATGTGATTTATGCAAGTTTTTCTGTTAAATAGTTGAGTGCCAGTTGTGTCATGTAACTCTTAATTTAAATTAAAAATTAATGAACTTTTGTTGTTACTTTGTTTTGTTTTGTGGTCTGGGGATCAAGCCCAAGGCCTCAACCTTGCTAGGTAAGCACTCTACCACTGAACTACACTCCCACTCCTGAAAATTACGAAGTATTTTTAAATATCATTCTTTGGATTAAGAAATTACTAATTTAGCTGGGCATGGTGGAGCTCACCTGTAATCCCAGCACTTGGGAGGCTGAGGCAGGATGACTTCACTGAGTTCAAAGCCAGCCTGTCTCAAAAGTAAATGGATAAATTACTAACTTAGGTATTTGTTTAAAAAAAGATTTTTTTTTTTTTGTCTTTTTGAGGCAGGGTCTTGCTCTGCAGATCAGACTAGCCTTGAGCTTACTTTGTAGCCCAGCTGGTCTTGAACTAACGATTCTCTTGCCTCAGCCTCCCGAGTGCTGGGATTAAGGCGTGCACCACCATGCCTGGCTAATCTAGGTGTTTCTGAGTAGAAAGTGGATTTTTATTTTTTTTTATTTTTTATTTTTTTGAGGCAGGGTCTTGCTGTGGTAGTTCAGGCTGACCTTGAACTCACAGTGTAACCCAGGCTGGCCTTGAACTTGCATCGATCCTTTCACCTCAGCCTCAAGAGTGTGTGATTATATAGGCCTCAGCTACCCCTGCCCAGCTTCTAAATAGAAAGTTGGGAAGTCCTAGTGTGTTTTTCAGCAGCTCTCTCAGAGCTTCTTTTTGGGTTTTCATAGGTGTGCTTTTTGAGTCGTAGCGGAGGGATGCTCTGGGTTTGTTACAACAGTTCTTTAGTATTATTGAGGACCTGTTGTGGGCCAGCCTTTGGAACTGGTTGGGGACAGGGCCAGTGGTTTGTTGGGATGGGTCAGGTGACACAAGGGACCACTGGTA